ACATAGCAAATGTCCAAGCATTAAAAGGAGCATTTTAAGAAATTTAAAGACTAACATAATAGTCAAGAATACGTGTAAGCTATATGCCAAGAAGAGAAACTGGCTATAGTAACATATAAAATCAACATATCCTGTTTTACCTTTATTTTATTATTTTTTCTGCACCCCACCCCATTTTTTAACAATAGATTTCCAAAATTTTTGTCCAAATGTCTTATTCCTTTATTTATTCCTTCCATTTTTTCTTTTCATTTAATTATATTTTTTTTAGTTTATTTTCCTTTGTTCTTCCACACTTTTTTGTCTAATCAAATGTGACCCATGTTTCTGAAATTGACAAGTTATTCTAACTAGAGCCCATCATTCTGAAACAGGCAACTTAGACAAACAATTTTCTTGACAGACCAAATGCGAGACATCTTCCCCACCCTACAACCTACAACACTCTTCATCTATGTCCACAATCTGACTCCCTGCATTAATAATTATAATAGACCGGCCTAACACTTTTGCAATGATCAAAATTTTTAATTTATTTTCATAGAGTTTCGTACAGGAAGGAATCAGACAGAGATTGGGTTTTTGCTAATATGATCTCCACCAGAAAATACACCATCCACAAAAACTTCTGTTGGTGAGTAATTCTCATTTCTGTTTATTTCTCATGCCATTGATGAAGGACACAGGTGTGCCCAAAAATTCCAGGCTTAAAACCTTACTTTCTGTGCTTCATTTCTGTCATATGTTTAATAATTGTTTTATTAACCCATCTATTTTACATGCTATAAGAAGCATATGTGAACCCTTTCTTCTAATCATATACATACATATATATACATACATACATACATATATATATATATATATATATATATATATATTAGCAAAGGTAATAGATCGGTTGGTATATAATCTAAGTGTATCCTAGTAATAAAAAATATTAAAACTGATCCACAAAAAGGGGTCAATGTATTTATTATAACAGAGCCAATAAATAGTACAACACAACAAATTCCAAAATTACCTCATATGGAGTGAGGGAGGGGACAGATCTACTTCCACCGATGAAAACATTTTAAGTCTTATTCAACCCCAGTATATAGACTGAGTTTGTATCTGAATTAGAAATTTAACTGTGACAGCAGTCAAAAAATCAATACAGAAATTATCCATTTCAATGTTTCAGTCAGACAAAATGTGTGAGAGAGTGTTCAGGAGAGGGTGAAAGGTATTAGCCTTAAAGGGAAGAGGTTTTATAAAATTAAACCCAGATATTAACCTTATGACATTAAATTGGAGTTATATGAAGAATGAAGTGTTAATTTGAAACTAAAAGAGGACTAAAAAAAGAGAGCTTTATAAAATTTTTTATATAGATAAGATTAGGTTTAAAAATACAAGTTCCTACTTAAAAATACTCTTCCAAAGATAAATTATATTTAAAAATAAGATATATTTAAAAAATAAGTCATATTTAGATAATTTATATTAAATTTATGTAAGAATATATTTTAAAAAATTTGTAATAAATAAAAAAAATTGTGATATTAAAGAATAAAAAATATTTAAATAGATAAAATAATTTATACATTAGAAAATTTTTTTTTAACTTTAAAGGTAAGTTAAAATCAAAAACAAGTTATATTAAAATACCTAAAAATACAAAATTTTATTAAAAAAAAAAAAAAAAAAAAAAAAAATAAAAATATAAAGAAGTGTAAATGTTAAAAGGAAAGTGAGTTCTTAGAACAGGGGACAATTAGAAGATATAATTAATATGGTGAAAAAAATGAAAATATAGAAATTAGAAATACTTATACATTTGAAGAATTAAAGAATTATAAGGTAATAAAGTAAAATCTATATTATGGAAATTTAAATTTGTCGTTATGTTGCCATTTTAAAACTAATTTATTCTTTTGATTCAATAGTTTGCTTTGATTATTGTATTTTATTATTCTAATGATTTCTTCTAAACACCTATCTCTAAGACTATTAGGAGTATGAGCAGACCCTATAATTTTCCTGTGGGTTCAGACTTTTCTCCTTCAGTTCCCAAAATTTTTTGAAAGAGCTGTCTGATATTTCAATTTAGGGTTGGTAAAAGAGTGCCTATGGCAACCTTTTAGCAACCATAATCTGTTTCCATTATAATTTAACATGTTTTCTATAGGGGAAATGGTTGCTTGGTATATAAACCTAGTAGATCTGTATTTGCCCTCAATTGGACAACTTTTTTTATCTCTACAATTACAGGAGGGTTCAATTGCAGATTTGTTGTTTATCCCATAGAACTTAAAATATAGTTATTACGAGAGTTGATAATTTTGTACAGATTATTGTTTATCCCATAGAACTTAAAATATAGTTATTACGAGAGTTGATAATTTTGTACATATTATTATTGAATGTCTTACTTAGAGGGTTGTTTTTGTGAAAATGTTTATTTATTAATTTTAGAAAATAATGTCCAATATTAATATTTTACAGGAGGGGGGGGTTGAACCATATAATTTTTCTTTTTCTATTTCTGTGCCTACATTCCACTTTAGATATTTCAGTGTTACTCATAGTGGTTAGATGAGATAATTTATTTTTAAAACCATTTTTATGGAGAGCATTTTCATACAATATTATTCCTTTTGAAAATGTAGAATTCAATTTCTTTGAAAGTCATCAACCTTGTCAATTATAAACTGTAGCTAAGTACCTTTACATACACTTTGTTAGTTTCTTCTTATTCTCTCCCTTATCCATTCCAATCTATGTCCAGGTTTTTTTTTTGTTTAACCTTTTAGGTAGGGGAGGGTTGATTTTACTTTCTGATCCCTGGAAAGTCTAACAGATATAGAATCAAGCAGATTATTCGGAAAACTTCTTTGTTTTTTTTCTTCCATCAAATAACTCGTTTTTTTTTCACACCAGCATCAAGATTGCAATTCTACAGTTGCAGACTGGAAATAAGAGGAATCTTTCTTTGCAAACCATAGTTGTATGCTGGTAATGGGATAGGGAGAAATGGATTCATGCCTATTACAAACGGAAATGACCCTACCCAGAGTGTTACCAATCCACAGCAGCTTTGAACTTATGATATTTATAAATTTTCATTCATTTTTACAATAATCACTGGTAACTGAATGACAAAATGGAAAAATTCTAATATGTTTCATCCTCTGAAAAAACTTCAGACTTAAAAAAAATAAGATTCTTATTAATAGAATTACATACATTGAACACCATCTAGCGTTTTGGAGATGGACCCCCCCTCCAGTATCACTCAGTTAATTCCTATATGTGATACACACTTGGGTGATCATGCCTCTTTCAATTTCAATTCATGACTATGCAGAAGAGTTTCCCTCGTTTCTGTTGTAGACTGGATGCCAACCAAGGCTATAGGATGCAATCTGTCTATCTATTCAACCCACAGATGGCGAGGAGAAGTGATTAATTCATACCTTTCCCAAGGGTATTTGGGTGTAAATGAATTTAACAAACCCACTCTTCAGTCTCTCATTCCAAGCTTTTAACCACACTAAGGCTAAAAAAAATTCACTCATATCTTTTTGTGTTAAAAAAGCCTTAAAAAAAAAAAAAAAATCCAACTTTTGTACAGTTTTTTTTTTGTATGTGAACACACTTTTTTAATCTAACAATTTGTATTAAATGAAGAAAATTATGAGTAAGATTTAAAAATGTTTGACGAAATCTTGATGTCTTCCAACCTAAGTCATGTGACCCTTTTACTGCTGACGTCACAGTCATTCATTTTTGCGGGATTTTTTTTGTCTTTAAACTGACCATCTCCCTAAAAGTTTCTTCCAAACAAAACAAAAAAAAAAATACTTCAGTCAAAGAGAAACGACTTTAAAGACAAAAGAACTGATTTTTTTTGTTATTCCTTAAACGAAACCGCTTGAAAAAAGTTGATTAAAAAAGAATATTCTTGATCTTGTTCACATTAAAAAAAACGTGCGACAGTCACATGTCAGTCATAACAAAGAAAGTAAATTACACATACACACAAAAGAACCCGATCGAATTTAAAACCGTTTTACCAACACAAAATATAGAAGTTTACCTTCTATAAATTAGTATCCCACTGGTTTCCTGGCAGACTCTTTTACATTTTTGATACAAGGTTTAATTTTACAAACCAAAAGAAATTTTAAGGCGATAAAGCGCCATTTTTATTTTGCAAATGACCGGCTCTAATTTATCAGGTTTTTTTTTTATTGTCTTGCTTCCTTTTTGTTATCGGTTTCTTTTAAACACATTTAGTCAGTCATAAAATAATTCTGGAATTTAAAAACAGGCTATTAAATTTAAATTTTAGGAAATATTTCAACATAATTTTTAAAAATACTTTCATCAATCATTGAATAAGTTAAAGTTTTTTTTACTTAATTATTTAATTTCTGTAGTAGTGTAAAAAGGTTTCATTCTAAAAACAAGAAAACAATTGTGAATGGCTAAAAAAAAAAAAAACAAACTAAATTTCTTTATTTGCTAAAAAAATATACGGAAACTTTTTTGAATGGTATAAGAAAATTTTTATTCGAGTTAATTTTTGTAAAAAAAAAAATTTTCTCGTGCCTGAAATGAAATCTATAATAACTAAAGATAGAAATTCTTATGATGAAATAATTTATGAAGCTCAGTCTCTTTATAATTTACTTTTTTTTAAAGTAACCATCTTTTTTCTAACCAAGGAAAGTTGCGTAACAAAACTTTTTCTAAAATTAGACATAAAAAGAACCAGATTTGTTTTTGTTTTATTACACTAACGAAAAGGAAAATTTATTTAATTCCCAAAGAAACTGACAATAATTTATTATTTCAGAAGTAAAATAAATTTGTCTTAAAGAAAAAAAAGAAAAGATAATTTAAACTAAAAAGTGATTGTTTTTATGCCGTTAAAAATAAAATAAAAAAAAAAAAAAACTATTTTGCTTTCAACATTAAATTCAATTTTTTAAATTTTAGTTGATCCCTACCTTTCTTTTTGGTGGCATATTTTGATGAAGGTGATGATTTTTTAGAAAATTAACAACGGGACAAAATCTTTTGGTCCAAAATAAGGCTTTGACAATCGCCAGACCTCGACACGTGCAAAAACAACTGGAAGAAGAAACGGTGTAAAAGGAAAATAATTACGAACAAAAGAATGTTCCGGTGTAATTTATTTGCAGTATGGCCCCTTTCCTTTGTGTAGAAATTTTAAAATACTTGTGCCGCGTTTATTATTTTCCAGATATAAATAAATAAAACTCTGATACACCTCTTTTCCCTTTATGCATCGTGTTCTCCCTGAGAAATCATGACTTTCTACAACTCCCGGTTTCTTGCTGAGTTAAGCTGTGAGAGAATGCCAGAGTGTTCGTGTAGTGAATCCTTCGTAATTCTGGGTAGCGAAAGTTCGTTTATAAGTCAAATTTTGGTAGCAGACGAGAGAAAGTCTGTTTCGGTTTGGTAGTTGATAGTTTTGAAGTCAGACCTTGCTAGTAGTTGCCATCTTAGAAATAGGTGCGACGTCAATCTGCTGTGTTTTCTTGACTCTAAGGGCGGAAAAATGCCTTAAGCAGACGACCGTTTAAAACGCATAGTTGGTTTCTCTGGCGGTTCTTTCTCTTCTTCTGCTTTTTTTATTTGAGGGTTGTCTTCTAGTTACTTGAGAGAGAGAGAGAGAGAGAGAGAGAGAGAGGGTTAAAGGAAAGCAAATGCCTTATTTTAATTCTTTTATTTTTTTTTGTTTATATATTTTATTTTATTTTACATTTGGGTTCTCACAAATCCCTTTCAATTCCTTTTTGTCCCGGCTCTCCAATCTGTTCATACTAAATCATTAAGTAGGTTACTCGTTGTACTCCCTTTGCCCTTCCTGCCTTCGATATATTCTAACAGTGTTAAATTTGCCGAGCCCTCTTTCCTCGTTATGTGTAACAGAAATTTCAATCAATAGAGTTGTAGTGGTTGCTATGTTTTTCCACGCCCACATTTTATTCGCCTGTATAGTGGGTCAGCCAATTTGTATTGGTTATAAATAGAAATAAAAACTGACCCTCTACAATTTTTACAATATCAAATCTAACAAAGACAACAACAAGAGAAATAATCAAGTAGAAGAAATTGTGAATTTGTTCAACAATAAATATTTTTATAAGCACAACAAATACATGATATATAGTGCAAAAGTTGATAAACACAATAGAGTTCTTTGGTGTGTGTTACTGAAAGAATTTGAGTTACTGTACTGTACGTGTGAAAATGACAAGGTGTAGTTAGCTATATTTGTTTTTATAGGAAAATTAAAGAGTTGTTTTTGTATTAAATAGAAAAAAGTATTGTTCTTGACTCACTGATTGTTATAGAGTTATCGCTCATTAACAAGAGATTCTTCTTGTGGAATAGAATATTTTGTGGGAGTGAGCATTAAGCCTGGAAATGGTTGACAAGGTTTGTTGTTGTATTGAAGATAAAGTTCGTCTCTTTTGCTGTGTTGATTTCCAATGAAGTCAAGTGAATTGGTTCAATATTTTAAGTGCCCACTGACCAAGTCGCGTCGAAGTTTCGTTTTTATTAGTTCTCTTGGTCACGTGCGGAGGCTCGTGAACATGTTTACATTTTATGGCGTCCACTAGAGGTCAAAATTTGGGTCGGTACCTTCGGACGTAGTTGACGACGCCTAATTAATATTTTACAACCAATCAAAATACATCAGTTGTTGGAAGCCTCTATGTATTTAACTTGCACAAAATTTAAGATTTAAAAAAAATGTAGGAATCTGATTCTACACCTGTGATTGGCTAATAAATCACTACTACTTTTATATAGGACAATTTAGCCATCGATGTCGTTTCTTTGAATCCTTCGGTTTTGAGCTTGCTTGCCTGTTCTGTTAGTAGGAGTGTAGTGATTGGTTAATTTTTAACCAGACACATATTTTTAATGCAAGATTAAGTTTTCCCGCGTTTCCGTGGGAGCCTACCCTTTTTTCTTAAAAGGGGAGACTTTTCACAAGTCGCCAGTAAGATCCCGTAAGATTCCAGCCGTCAGCACAAATCCACGATCTTACTCATCAAATTTCAAACGCATACACAGACATAGATTTTCGTAATATAAACTTACATTTCTCTCTGTGACTTTGCCAAATTCAATCAACCAGAACTCTGTTGATTCGAACCATTCTATAACACAACACATTTTTAATTAATTGTATTCTTGCGTTATTTATTCTTAACATGCAAACTTTGCTCTAATATTGATTTCTGAACATTTTTCTCTCAAGAGAACTTTCTTCGAACAATTAATTACAAATCATTCTACAGTTAAAGGGGGACAACTTCCTTCCCTTAATCTATACATTGAACACAATTTTATTGCATGTTTGTTCTTATATGTTATTTCAATATATATCTGTTGATTAACAATTTGAAGTTATTGTTATTTACTTGAATCTTGTACGTTGGAAATATCGTTAATATATATAGTATTGGTTCATCTACAATCAGGCCTTTACAGGGTCGATCCAAAAGCTACATTTTAAGAAAAACCTGATCTCGTAGTTCAGAGATTTTGCGAGATGAATTTCTGGCTTATGCAAATTTCCGAGCCTCAGCCACTCGATAAAATGAGCATGATTGGAAAAGACAGATTGCTACTCCAAACAGCTGTACCTTTTTACTAACTCGACACTATGGCGATTAGCATAAACAAAGAAACACAAAAGGTGTATGTGAATTAAACATGACCACAGACATCCTTTAGCTAATAAAAATAAAAAAATAATAATGTGTAAAAGATGATATAAAATTGAAAGTACTTAGAGATACAGCTTTTTTTTTAAAGCAATTACTTCCTGATCAAATTTAACGCAGTCTCATAGTCTAATAAATTAAAGAGTTGGAAATGTCCTTTTAACTTATGCACTTGGGTTATCCTCAGCCGTTATACCTGCAGTTGCGGTTTAGGTGAACTGACGTCACCAGCTTTGGTGGCAAGAAATGAGCTTGATGCGTGTTCTTATCTCCATATATCTGTAGTGACTACTACTACGTTTGCCACGCCTACAGTTTTCTCAACTGTGATTGGTTAAATAATAAATACTGTTTACCACAGGACAATTTACTAATCGCAGTCACCACACTGAATTTTTTTTGCCGTGAATTTCACAAACGTGCTTTTGTTAGAAAATCACCGATTGGTTAATTTTTCATCTAATCATATATTTTCTGTGTTCGTCCAGTTCTCCCGCCTTTGTTCCTGGATCCTAGCAATAGTTATAAAAGCAGTGTTTTGTTCCAAAAATAGACAGTAGAATTCAGCAACTCACACGCGTCTACACAGATTATTGATTCTACTCACTACGCACACACAGACACAGAACTTGAATTACATTTCGCCATTCGTTTTCTGTGAACAAGCCAAGTTACAAACCAACACTCTGTTAGTTATACAAATAACACACAACTGAATTATCTGTATGTTTTTCTGAATGCAACATTCTATTTCAACATAGAACTTTGAACATTCTATTCAAGAAACATTCTTAATTACATTTTATCTTATTCAAGCTAACAGATAAATGGAAAATACTTTCTTTTCCTTAATATTCACACATTACAAAATTGTTTTGTATTTGTTGATTTTAATGTATATTTTATCGTTGAAACAAAAATCGTTTTCTCATTGTTTTTCCTTGATTCAATAATGTATAAATGTTAAATGCTCTTCAACACACAGCCACATTAATCTCTATCCATTGTACATTTAACGATTCAAAAAACCAAAAAAAAAAAAACCAAAAAAAAAAAAAAAACGAAACTCCATATGTGGATCAACAAATAAATATATATTGAAATATAACATACAAAACAAATCATGCAATGAAGTGTAATGATTAAGGAGAAAAAGTTGTTCCCCTTCAACTGTATTCTGATTTATGATTTATGTTCGAAAGAGTTTCTCCTGAATAAGAATGTTCAGGATTCTATGTTGAATAGAGTTTGCTGTTAGAATAGAATACAGTTAATTAAGAAATGTGTGGTTTAGAGAAATTAATAGAGTTCTGGTTCATGAACTTGGCTGAGTCACAGAGAGAGATATGTATAATGTGTTACAAAAATCTGTGTTTGTGTGTGCGTTTGAAATATAGTGAGTAAAGTCGTAGATTTGTATCACAGTCGAATAAATTTGGGGCGTGGAAAAGCGTAACAGTCGCTACAAGCTGTTGCAATCGTTTCGTATCTCTACTGATCGAAGAAGGTATATATTCTAACCATTCAGATTTTGCTGTGTCTAGCCTGTAGACGAGAAAACGGTTTACCTCCTGGAACAAAACGCTCTCGTACGTGTCTGGCGTGCAAGATACTTGAAAGAAAATAGAGTCGATCCAAAAGCTACAATTTAAGAAAAACTTGATCTTGTAGCTCAGAGATTTTGCGAGATGAATTTGTGGCTTATGCAAATTTCCGAGCATCAGCCACTCGATAAAATGAGCATGAGTGAAAGAACAGCCCAGCTCTCACCGATTTTGATTGAAAAAGAAAGATAGGTTACAATTGGTATTCCAATTTACTCCATAGCCTTCTCAGGTTCAACTTTGCCCGTATAAAATGAAAGATTACACAATAAAATGTCGTTTTCCCATTCATTTTAATAATGACAGCTACAGGACGTGACATGAAAGTGTAGCGACTGCTACGCTTTCCAAGCCTACAATTTACTCACCTCTGATTGGTTAATAAATAGATACTGTTTTACCACATGACAATTTAGTAATCGCAGTCACCACCTCGAATTTTTCTGCCATGAATATGCTCAAACATATGTTTGTTAAAAAATCAGTGATTGGTTGATTTTTATCCAATCATACATTTTTGTGTTAATTCAACTTTCCCACGTTGGAGCCTACCAGCAGTTATATAAACAGCAGTTTGCTCCACAATAGACAATAGAGTCCAACAACTTACGCTTGTCTACACAGATCCACGATTCTACTCACAACGCACACACA